CTGAGACCGAACGTGTGCCATTTCTTGACACTCCCCTCAGATTATCTGGGTTGTGTTTTAGTACAGAAGCGTTTCCAACCCCACAATGCACATAGTGATTAGCAGAGGTAACTTCCATTCCAAACCTTTCTGGATTTCAGGATTCATGAAGCGATTCTCTATATCAATTTGAAGGCAGTGAAAGATTAAAGTGCTGCAGAGACATGCAAGTGACCTTCCTGCCTGATCTCATTATTGCTGCCTCCACAAATCAACCCCAACTCCTCGCCACCCATCAGCAGAGATAGGAAGTAGTTGGTAGGTCAACACATTCATTCCCCCTTTCAACCTCCATCCAGCAAAACAAAAGTTGCTCTGTTTGAGTTGGTATCTGCAATTGCACAGACTGCTACCTTTGTTCAAACAGAGAAAGCCTTTCTGCACCCTGGACTGGAAGTTCCTGCATACTTTTAGGAAGTACAAAGTGTAGATAATCCGCTGAAGCATGTCAGTCTTAGCCCCATATATTTACAAAGCCTGGTAGTACTAACTCACAGTCAGTCCTCTGAAGAAAAGCATTCCAGTGTATCCCATAATCCTGGCAGAGTTTTGCATATCATGAGAACAGGAGGCTAAATCCTGCGGCCTCCAAAGCGTTCCTGTATTTGGCTTGTCAGTGGCGTGAGGGTTTTCTCCTCCACCCCTTCCCGCTCTCGCCCCCAGGGCCAAGCCAGACAAGTCCTTTCAGGAGTTCTTCAGGGGAGAGGCACAGGTACTGCAAGAGGGAAAGGTGTGGCCCTTCCTTGCTTTAGAAAGGAAAAAGAACCTTTTGATGCCTCAAGTAGGTCAAAATACTTCACCCAGCCCCTTACTGACACTTGCATACAAACAAACAAAGCAGGCCAGCGGCAAAATTTTCTCAGTTCCCACTGTGGAAAGTGAATATCAAAGCTGCAAGGGACAAGAAAGGTTTCAGGTGAGCGTGGGGGAAATCACGAGACCCAGCCCATTTGCCTATTTTACACAGAAGCTTCTCTGGGTTAGTACTCAGAAGTCATAAAGACATCAGGCTATAAGACTTCAACTTAAATTTAATCCTGCCACCATGGTAAATACAGACTTTAGTATAAACTGGTCTAAGTCCAGGTGCAATACGCAGTAATGACACTAAAAATCAGGTCTAAAGAGACTTCAGAAGGAGAATAAAAGTGACCAATTCCTTCAGTCCAGAGTCAGTCTTTATTACTTTATATGTTGACTTAGCACTCAATGAGATTAACATTCACCTAAACCACCGCCAATTCCAACGTATCCCAGCCACCCTTTTTTCTCCCCTCTTAAGAAAACAAAACGGCACCTAAAAATTCCTGGAGAAGCATGTAAGCACCTGTCTCCTATCAACAGAGGCCTTCCCTGGAAAGCCAACCCGTAGTTTTCTGCCTGCACGCAGGCACTGAAGCCCAGCTCCCTCGGAAGCAGCGAACAAATGCCTACTGTTCTCACAGTCAGGACTATTTAAGGACAGGTGGCCCCACGCTGACTTTTTTTCCAGTGGTTTTTCCAATTGCTTTCGTCTGCAACATGAGCTGCGACTCCAGACTGCCTTGGGAGCACCACTTTTCAGCTGGGTCGTAGAGAAGGGCTGAGGAAGGGGAAGGGTTAGGGTTGTTTGCAAGAAGAGGTCACGCAGGAGTCAGCCTTTACAATCCTATTAACGCTGGGACAGGGTCAACTGGAGTGCACGTTCCAACAAAAGCACCAAGTGGCCACAAAGCTGTCACCCTGCAAAGGTTCAGGGAAGCATTTGGGGAGGGGGGAACCGACAGATTTTTAATGGTGAATGTCTGCCACACCATGTGTTGGAACCGGCCCCTGCTCCGGGGAAGCAGCAATAAAGTTCTCCGGCTGCGGAGCAGCAAGAAGCAGCGTATCTGGGGGGTGGGGAGAGGGGTAAGGTTTTTAAAGTTGCGTCTCTGAGGATATCTACCAACAGGAATATAACGCTCCAACCTACCACGACAACCAGCGTGCTGCCGCCTCCGCCTTGGCATGCCAACCCTGTAATCCAGACCCGTATAAAAACGTCCACAGAGATCTCAGGAAATTGTGGGGAGGGTAAATATGCAGGTGCAGAAAGCCCTTTTGTACTGCAAGCACAGCAGACGGGACGAAGGGACAGAAAGTCAGAAATAACATTTCAAAGGAGACAAAAAAAGAAGGAATTATTGGGTTGGCTTGACAAAAACGCCACGGTCCGACAGTGCGTTTCAAGGTAGCTGAAGGTTTGCTGTTTACACATTTTCCTTCCAAAATGCTGCGCTATTATTTTTACTTATTGCCCGTTCCTCTCCGGGTAAGGAGTTCTCAGCCGGTGGCAGGTTAAATGTTGGTGTAATGCAGTTAAACACTTACTGTGACGGCCAGCTACGCTGACACTGAACGGCGAGGGTGCTTTTGCGGAGCTAAAACCAGTCAGAGCTTTGGATTCCCGGCTAAGGTTAGAAGTAAGGGAAACGTGACATTAAAAACATGAATCCAACCCAGCATTATTTCCACCACCTGCCTGGGTGAAAGTCACTCTTAAAATTGCCTGCTTCAACCTACAGTTAACTGAAAAATCTGCTACTTCTTAGCAGATTGGAAAAAAAAAAAATCAGACCGAACAAATTTATGGAGAAGAATTATTCAAGAGCTACAAACTGGGTGCCAACAGAACTGGGTTATTTTTTTTTAGAGTTTGCCTTTATATTTAGAAGATGATTTCTGTAACAGTGCCTAATCTTGGAATGCTGAGCAGTTTTGAGGGGAGAAGGCTGGCTGCTGCATCATCACCTTTGAGACAGCACTCATGCTCCTGGGGCTTGTCCACTGTGTCCCTTACAAGAGTATCAGTTATGCTGGATTAACAGTTAAAGAAAATTGTCAGTTTTACTTCAGAACGTTTCCAGTTTTGCTTTAAGCTCAATTATGAGTATTTCACCAGCACTTATTTTGGGGAAATATATGGAATTCTACCACAAGCTCTACAAAAAGCAATAAATCCGATTTTATCAAGCAGATGCTACACTCAAAGGGTAACTCAATTAGCCCTCCGATGCTGGACTGGTTCTGAACTTTGGCAACAATCCATGACCACGGCTGTGTGAACTGGAGCTAAGTTTACTCCACATCGCTACACAGACCTGTGATATGTCATTAAGATCCTGTTACCAGTCAAGGGGCCTTTGCATTTTGCTGTACTGTCACACTAGCAGAATCCAAAAGAAGGTGAACCAAATGGTGAATGTGGAAACTCTGATGAATGAAAAGCCACAGGGAATGTTTACAAGGCAGAGGAAGGCACAGGCAGACAACCCCAGCTCTTGGAGGAACGTCACAGAAAGGAAAGACTAGGGGAAGTGCCTACATTTGTTAAACTGGAAGAACGTTTGCAACAAATCCAGTCATGGAAACCTAAGGATGAATAACGTTTCTAATGCTGTCGTTATCAACTGCCCTCCAGAAAGGCCTAAAATATGCTCCAGGCCATCCACATGCACAGCACGACGCAGCTCTTGACTGAAAAAATATATTCTCCCTTGAGGCTACTGGGGAAGTATCTGGAGTTAAAAGAGCCTACATCAAAGTTGTCTATAAACCGAACGCTAGCAGCAGCTCCAGACAAGCTCCCCTGTCTCCACAAAAAGAGAACTGCTACCATTTAAAAACCACCTAAAAGCTGTCTAAAAGACCTTTCTTACACATATTATAGTCAAAGAAATAAAGGGTACTGCTTTGAAGAAAGCTTCAATATTTAAATGCTTAACTGGTTCCCTTTTTATGTACATACAAAATGCTAGTTTTTAATGGTGGCTGTTGCTATGCAACAGGGCAGAAGTTCTAAAACCTATTCATCTGTTGTACAAATGACAGTTTTCAGGACATATTTAACTCTCTCAGCCTATTAAATCAAAGAAGGAGGATGGGAAGCTGAGGACCGTAAGCTCCCAGAGCATGCATCCCCTGAAGGGCTACAGCATGGCTAAAAAGGGTCTTTCACCGATTATATAATTTTTTCAACACAGTGCTATGATGAAGTAGCTACCCCACATATAAAAAATGTAAAAAACAGCACAACTCTAGTTAAATAAAATTATATCTAAGTGTAGAAATGAAGCTTATGATTATTACTTTCATCCAGAAATATCCAAAGCAATTCTAACCAGATCCTGCTACAATATTTAAACTAGAGGGGCGGGTCAGGCAATCGCAAATCAAGCTCTAGCATATTAATGAGTTACAGCTCTGGAAGCTGCCATCCTTGGGCTGTGATTGCCTATCACAGGCATCACACTTTCTAGGCCACTGCAACGCAAAATGAAGTTAATTCACTTCAACGCGAACATAAGATCAATTAAGCTATTGCAGAACATTAGATAAGCTTTACTTACCAGTAAAATAGACTATATAAGGTAACCTGGTCATTAACTGAGATTTAGCTGAGGGGGCAGTAACAGAATATTGAGGCACAGTAATTCCTGAATGTGTTCCAAGTTGGTAACAAGCACAGCTCCATGCCATAAGCGCTGTCCACCTACCAGTAGGCAGAACATCTTTATTTATACTAAAAAAACTACTTGAGATGGATTTTTTTTTTCAATCTATAGCCAGCATTCTGATTATTTAGTTGCACTAACAAGTTCAGCAGCATGAAATACTGTTCTTGCAACATAATTTCAGTGGTTGAGAAATTTCTATCTTATATTTTCCCTTTTAACTCAGTCAGGAATAGAAACTAAAATCACTTCATAGGAGTAAGATGCGTTTCCAAACCCCTGATGTTGCAAAAATGCTGGACTACGGTCAGGTCATGCCAGCAGTCCAACCCATCAGCACAACACTTCCTCCATGTGAGCAGTAAACAAGTGCAGTGACGTCTCAGGGAGCTGGCTGACCCACTGATGAACTCTGGGCTGTGAAGGAGCTGCAAGGTGCCAGAGGACGACACATACACGTACCCACACACACGTGTGCCCACATACACGCACGTCCCGACAGCATAGGAGGTGTCAGAGCTATCTGCAGCAGTTGCACCTCATCATCGTGGTAAAGGACACCCTGAACGACCTCTTGCTTCCATAAAGCACACATTCAAACATAAACACAACACGGACAATAGTCTCCAAGGGGCCTGGATTAAAATCAAATAACAGGCAACACAAAGAACACTCTACGGCATTGCACAATCGGCCTATCTCCAACCCCAAAATCACATAACTCGGTTCAGCGAGACAGGACTCCCGTGTTTCCCAAGAGCCTTGGGAATGTTCTTACATCATCTCTGACAGCTCACCGTGGTCAGAGCCAGCCCTCTCCTATTACCACTTTGGGAAAGGAGTATTTGTACCAGCTGGATGTCTTTAATAGTCTACTTGGAAGCACCACCTCTGCTCTTTAGGGCAGTAAGCTGAGTTTTCTCTTCACTGGTAAGTTTTTTTAGGAGGTAGGGCACAGGGAATTTGAGTTTGTAGTCAACATCAAGCCAAGCTGCTGGCAGTGGATGTCAGCATTTCCCACTCCCTCTCCCAAGTCCCACAGCCATGCCTCGCCCAGGGAACGCACCGACTGGAGAGACAAGGTGCCCGTGTCCTACTGGCAAGGAGGTTAAAATGACAGATCTGAGACGAACAGATTTAATAATTTAAACTTCACGTAGAAAATATCCGATTGCCCACCATTACTGTTGATCCACTCTTTTAAAGGGGACAGAAAGGTGCGCAGCATCTTTAGAACATCTTCCACTCCTGTTAACTTATTTTAAGTCTATTATATTTGAAGGTTTTCTTAAGGTCCAGCACACAGAGTTAGAGGATTATCTAGCCACTTCTGCATTGTTTGTTCATTTCTCTGATATCTAGAAAACCTTCAAAATCTAACTTGGGTGTACCCAGTGATTCCAAGGGCAAACAGAATGAAAAACCAGTTATAATTACTTAAAATATCATCTTTTTTCTGAGGGGTAACTCCAGGAGGTATTTGCTGCACAGTGAAGCTTCTCAGAAACACTGAATTAAGATTCTGTTCAGTGTCTGAAGTTCTCACTTTCCGATACAAGTTGGCACTCACAGAAGCCTCGCTAGGAGTTTCAGCCCAGGACTTGCTGGGAAAGAGGACACAGCCGAAGGACAAACCTGACCTCCGGATCCAGCGGGTGCAAGCTGCTATCCGTGCTGACCGGGAGAAGGAACGCTGACTGAACAAGAAGTCAAGGTTGAACTCCATTTGCACCTATCTTAAATGGCTGTTTCATTTAGATAAGGGATGAAATGTATTAGCCAGGTCATACCAACTACCACCCCACCTTTAGATAAGTCTTTCTAACCTGTGCCTAAAGATATGGCATATTATTGGGTAATCACAGCCCAGAATCTTTCCAGGCATCATTTTTGTAACACCTCAAAATATGTATAATTTGAAGTTTAGTGTCCTCAGAGGCACAACTGCCACTGATTACACACCGGGAGCCAGATTTCTCTCAGAGAAAGCATAAATGATTCCAGCAGAGCTGCATTTGTGCTTTCAAACACTATTTTACTGCTGGAAGTGGAGCACTGACATTCGCTCAGGCCGAGCTAGGCAACAGAAATCCCTGTGTTAGTCAGCACAAGTAAACTCTGCAGCACTGCATTCAATAAATGGTAATTAAGAAGGTGGCAACATAAGGGCCGCTGTCCACAGGATCCTTTTGTAATTATGCATAGTTTATGGCTAAGCTAATACGAGGAACAATTTAAATTGGTTACAAACTCTGCCAAGGTACCCATCTATTCCCAAGTCTATTAATTAGAATCTATTTAATCCCCACTGGGATAAAGGTCAAACAACATCTATTTGACCCCCTTCTGCTGGCGTCAGTGTTATCAGGCAATGGATCTGGCAGTGCCTGGGTCTGACTTGTTCGACTCTTCAGCATGATGACACGATGCTTTGAAGAACAGAGCCTGGGCCCAGCTAAAGAGATCTCTAATAATTTCTGCTTTATATTCCTGATAAGGACACAGGTTTAAAAATGCCAGAGCTTGTTCTCTCTCGGTGGTCAGCTCTGAGGCTGTGGTTCCCTCTTTATGGTGCAGTCTCCCTTTCCTGCCCAATACTTAAAGCAGCAATGCTATTAGATTTGTACCTGCAGTTCAGTCCAGAAATCGAAGTGAAAAATGAACATTAGCAACTAACCCACATTTGTTAATGGATTTTAAAACAAACACTCAAAAAATCAATAATCATTAGTTGACATTTCCAAACTGTCCAGAAGGAAAGACACGGAATTTCTACACACTTGTCCCATTTTAAGGGAAAAAGTAGAGAGAGCTCTTGTCTTTTTTTCTTCTCCCATAGTTCCTGTAGAATTAAATGGCTACTCTGTGGGATTCCTCATCATCTATTTGTCCCAGTCTTTTCTTGGAAAAGCTGTCATACCACTTTCACACCTCTCAAGTGAATCTGGTTCCTGGCCTTAGCTACGGTAGTACCATGTAAAATCAGCTGGTTCTTGATGTACTAACTTCGTGTATGTTCTCTCTGAATGTTGCTGATCTGCTTGAGGAATGTAATTCAGAGTTTTCTAAGTTCCTCTTTCACATTTTTACTATCCACTGCATAGTATCACCCTATCAAGACAGGTTTTCACAGCAGGGTAACAAAACAAAAGCAACTGCTGTGTCAGGCTAATTAGACATTCTCTCGACAGAATGTTTAATTCTTTTTATAATGCAAAAACTACCCATATATGTCAGTGCTTCACAGGCAAATCATTCTACCAATCCAAGGAAACTTCTTCCTAGCCTGTACCAGTCACGACATAAAGGCAACAGAGATACACAGCCGCACACTTACATGTCACGGAGGTGATGAAACCACGCGAATAAAGCATGGATAAACCGCTTCAGATAAGTGAGGTGAAACATCATAGACCAAAACCACCTTGCCAGCCATGAAATTCAGAGAAGCGGCCTTTTTCCCTTCTTTGGTACAAATAAGACCACGATCATGGGACGGCAGACTGGCTGAGGCTGGATGTGACCCCTAAAGGCCACCCGGTCCGACCTCCCTGCTCCTGCTTCCACCAGGCCAACTCTCACTTTGAATTTCCCTGCCTCCCCTCCAAGCTCCCCAGATCTCAGCTTCTGCACTTGCTTGCAAGGCCGTTCTGCCCATGTTTCTGACCACCTTCCATGTAGAACACCTCCTGTTGCAGCCTTTACCTCCCAGCACTCATTTTTCAGCCCACCCTTGTGTTTCTACCACACCGTCCGCACCTCCGTAAACACTCCCCAACCTCTTCAAATCCCACCTTAAAACCTCCCTGGCTGTGAGGCCTTTCCAAAAACTTGAAAATGGCTACATGAGTGGTGCTGAAATCACTTGTTTTACAAGCCCCACCAGCACAGACGTCGGCGTTTGTATTCAGTGGCTGCCTTTTGGTTTACATGGACATTGTAAACCCGGAGGTAGGGACTGTCTTTTGCTGTTGTCCTTATACAGCACATTTAGCACCTTTATGGTAAATAATTTCGAGTGCCTGAGTGGGTTTCTGAGGCACTACAGTGACAGTAATAGCCTCAAGATTCCTTCAGCCTTGGTAGTCCTTGTATTTGGTGGGAAGACACATTCAACTCTCCCAGTGCCAGTCCTTTGGCATTTTAAAAAGCGCTGGATTTTGGTGTGCCAACCCAGCACCGTCTCACTAGGACAATGTTTTCCCACGACATCACTGTATCCTGAAGTGAGATGACAAGCCTGTTATGCTGCAAGTTCCACTTCTTGTTAACATTATTTTCTTTACAGCACACGCACTAACAAGACAGGTATGTTCTAAATTATAAGCTCAACCAGCTCCAGCCGGAACGTTGCTTCACAGACATCAACAGATCCGATATCTGATAAATTCTGGTTGTGCTTGCCAAGCAGAGACACTTATTCAGCATGTTATTCCAACTGCAGGCCTTGGCACCAGCACGCATAACAGGCTTAATGCCATCTATGCCTGGGCCTTGAAACAAGGGCTCCTCCGCCCACCCTTAAATTCAATCGACAACGACACGAGCTGCCAACAGGAAGCCATTAAATAAAGTTGCTCTCGGTATATAACCTTTATGGAAAGATAGTCTTTCTAGAGACCATAAAGCGACTCCATCCAACCTACGCTCTCAGAGTTTAAACGTTCCAAATGAATAGATTAACTTGCATGACATGGAAAAACATTCACTCCCCAATTCTTTTTGCATACGTCTGGTTACTGGTAAGTTATGACATGCTCTAATAGTTCCCTGTAAGATTAAATGCTTACCTTTCCATAAGATTAGAGTAACCACCATCAAAAATAGGCCTGAAACTGTTCAGTTCCTATGTGGGTTGGGTTTTTTCAAGCACACATGCAACAGGAGAATTACCTAGAGCCTGATGTTTGTACTATGGGTAAATACTATACTAAAATATCCACAACATAGAAAATGCAAAAATTTCCTCTTAGACTACATGAAATTCTTCACTTGGAGACGTGTCAGACTGCCTTTGCAAAATGGCTAGGTACTTATTTGCACTGCTAAACTACTACGGAGAAATCCAGGAGATACATGGACTATATGCCCCGTGGAGATAACAGCATCCTGGCTGGGGACAGATGCTCTCTTGACAACACTTAGTACCAGAACCTAAAAATATAGATGTAGCTTTTACATTCAGATGTTTAAAAATTATTATACACCAGGCCAACTCAACATCTGCTGTGCAGCACGTCTGCAAACGGCATTTGCATTGGGTCAAGTGCACCAGAACTGTGCCCATTCCTTTTATAAACATAATTTTAAAGGCTTTATGATTTCATTATGTTAGATCATGGTGCCTGTTAAACAAGCACATGGTGATTAATCATATTCTGTGGAAAACCAGTTCTTCTCAGCTCTGAAATTCTGTAATTTTCAATCAGTTCTTTTCCTTATATCGTAACTAATCTCCTCGGGGGTGGCCAGAACAGGTCTATTCATGTTCTGAACTCAGAGGGAACGGCAAGATGCATGTCAGAAATCAGTTATTACTTGCAGAACACAAGTGAATTCTTGATGAATGGCTCAGCTGCAGTTGATTTGAAACCTGACAGCAAGCAGGAGGACTTCCTGAGTTTACTTCAGGTGTGCTATCTCATCCCTTCCCCCTCCTCCAGCACGTTATCAGAAATTATAGGCCTTTGTACATGGCAAAAGGAATGTTTTCAGGTTTGGAACACCACAGCCCACCTGGGCGAAACTGCGTGGCAGACTGAAATTCCCGTATGCTAAGATTTCATGTCAGGTTCTTCTTCAGGCAAGAGCTAACTCTCAGATACAGTTCAGTAAGAGTATTCCACAGGTTCTGAGCACAAAGTCAGGGATGAGTGTTTGAGAACAGCAAATATTTTAGAGGACAGTTTCAATCAAGAACTCTTACTGAAATCCATGTGAGATATAAAGGCTTTTGTCCTCTTTTGTCACAGCTCTGCATGACTTTTAGCATCAGTCTCGGTATTCTGCCCTCACTTCAGGAGATGAATATTCATTTCCTTCCCAGCTCTAGTCACAATGCAGTTAATCTTTTATCGAATAGCACTGATACATGTTATCATGAAGTTTTAAAAAGATGCATACCAATTCATACCAACCAGGACAACAATGTCAACATGATTCATAAAGACCAAAGTGAAATATTCACAAAACTACAGACACAGTTTGTGCAGATAACGTGGGAGGAACATGCCACCGCAGAAACTCATTTCAAAACTTGCCAAATTTTCCATTACTGGGAATACAAGGCTAAATTCTAAGACCTGATACCATTTTTTAGATAACCTCTCTGCAACGCTCTCACCCTTAACACAATTTACAGCCTAAATTCTCCCTCAGCTAAAACTCTCCAATTATAGAAGCACCTGCAATTCGCTCGTTGAAGTTAATGGAGCACAGACGGAAAGCAGCTCTCAGGTCACACAGCTCTCATCCCTTCCTCGGTGCTCCCTCCTCCACTGACTTCTTACTGCCATCCCAGTTTTCATTGAGCTGAAAGGTTAGCACGCTCAGGTGACAAGGTATCTTCCTAAAATAAGACATTCAGGTCTGACTTTGAAAATGCTGTGAAAGTAATGATGGAAAGGACAGGTGAGGTTTCCGGTTTGGTGCTTTTTGTAGCGTGAACAAAATCAGGGGTGATATAAGCAAAACACAAGCAACAGAATCAAAGAATCATGGAATGGT